GAATATTATTTTTGCCTTTAGTTATCACTACCTGTTGGTGAATTGTGTAAACATACGACAAAATAGTACATTTTCAGTTTTATCTGTTTATTTTTGTTATTTGTTTATTACTCAAAGAGCTTTATCTGCTAAAATTCATTTGTTTTCCAGAAAGGCATGCAGAAAAATACACTTTCTATAATTACAGTTTTGAACATATGTACCCACTACTAAAGAAAATCATTATTATCTTAGAAACCAGGCAATTCAGAGGCTAGATTCTTCAATTTTCCATAGACTGGGTACAGTGGCTCATGCCTGTAATCCTAGCAGTCTGGGAGGCTGAGGCAGGTAGATTGCCTGAGCTCAGGACTTTGAGACTAGCCTGAGCAAGAGTGAGACCCCATCTCTACAAAAATAGAAAAAAAGTAGCCAGGCATCATGGCGAGCACTTACAGTTCCATCTACTCTGGAGGCTGAGGCAAGAAGATTGCATGAGACCAAGAGTTTGAGTTTCCCGTGAGCTATGATGCCACGGCACTCAACCTAGGGCAGCAGAGTAAGACTCTTGTCTCAAAAAACAAAAATGGGGGGGGCCATATGCGGCAGCTCATGCCAGTTGTCAGCACTCTAGGAGGCTGAGGAAGGTTGATTGCCTCAACTCACAAGTTTGAGGCCAGCCTGAGCCAGAGCAAGACCTCGTCTCTAAAAAATAGCTGGACACTGTGGCGGGTGCCTGTCGTCCCAGCTACTCAGGAGGCTGAGGCCAGAGAATCACTTGAAGCCAAGAGTTTGAGGTTGCTGAGAGCTATGACGTCATGGCATTCTACCAAGGGCAACAAAATGAGACTTTGTCTCAAAAAAAAGAAAAAAGAAAGAAAAAGATTTCATGAGAATGTTTATATATATATTTTAAAGATAATTCTTTTATTTCTTTTTAGAGACAGTCTCACTTTGTCACCCTTGGTGGAGTGCCGTGGCGTCACACTGCTCACATCAACCTCCGACTCCTGGACTTAGGTGATTCTCTTGCCTCAGCCTCCTGAGTAGCTGGGACCACAGGCACCTGCCACAATGCCCGGCTATTTTTTTGTTGCAGTTTGGCCGGGGCCGGCTTTGAACCCGCCACCCTTGGTATGTGGGGCCAGCACCCTACCCACTGAGCCATAGGCGCTGCCTGAGAATGTTTCTTTAAATTAAATGGAAGTGGGCTCAGCACCTGTAGCTCAGCAGCTCGGGTGCCAGCCACGTACACTAGAGTTGATGGGTTCAAACCCTGGCCAGACACTATGATGGGCACCTGTAGTCCCAGCTCCTTAGAAGGCTGGGGCAGGAGAATCACTTAAGCACAGGAGTTTGAGGTTTCTGTGAGCTATGATGCACGGCACTTTACCAAGGGCAACAAAGTGAGACTCTGTCTCAAAATAAATAAATTAATTAAATAAAATAAACAGAAGCTTATTTATTTATTTTTTTTGACAGTCTCACTATGTCACCCTCTTTAGAACGCTTTGGCATCACAACTCACACCAACCTCAAATGTTGGGCTTGAGTGATTCTCTTGCTTCAGCCTCCCAAGTAGCTAGGACTACAGGTGCCTGCCACAACACCCGGCTAGGGGCCTTCATTTTTAATCAGAATTTAAAGGCAGGCTCGGTGCCTGTAGTCAGTGGTTACGGCACCAGCCACATACACTGCAAGTGGTGGCCTGGGACAGCTAGACGACAATGACATCTGCAACAAAAAAAGAAAAAAGAAAGGCAAGAGTATAAAATATTACCCACAGATTTATCTGTTCTAGCATCATTTAAAACAAAATTTTATTTATCCCTCCTAGAGGAGTCAGAAAAATCTGTATAATTTAGTATTTTTCCTTCAAGCGGGATTTATAGAGTTGCTGGGTTATAGTTCTGCTAGTGAACAATTTTATTGTTTTCATGATTAGGCCTGTTCTCTAGGTAGAATTCTGATTGTTTTTCTGTCCCTAGGATTGGAATTACTCTAACTAAAGCTAGTGCAGACTGTACCACCTACCTATCCCCCAAAGCCTCTTAGCCATTCCTTTCCTGCTCAGAAGCAGCTAAGCTAATAATCAGCCTTTGACATTTACTTTCTCATCTTAGCCAAAGCAGTCTTTGTGATTTGTGGCTTTCTGGATAACAAGGTCGTCTTTGCAGGGGCACGTTGGAAGTTACATCCAGTATTCTCTGGGAAGTTTGGAGATACTAGCAGAAGCACAGACTCTAAAGAAGAAATTATTTATTTATTTATTCACTTATTTTGAGACAGAGTCTCACTATGTTGCCCTCGTTGCTGTGGTGTCACAGCTCACAGCAACTTCCAACTCTTGTGCTTAAGGAATTCTCTTGCCTCAGCCTCCCAAGTAGCTGGGGCTACAGGCGCCTGCCACAATGCCCAGCTGTTTTGTTTGTTTGTTTTTGTTGTTGCAGTTGTCAGTGTTGTTTAGCAAGCCTGGGCCGGGTTCAAACCTGCCAGCCCCGGTGTATGGTGT